AAGGAATTGTTTGATCCTTTAACTATCGAGTAGTGTAATTAAATTTTAGATGTAGATAATAGATATGTAGCTGCAACACCAATCTGTATTCCCCGATTTTGGTATCATCAGTTTTCTGAAATGCCCACACTATGGAAGCATATTCAAAGACATATTCTTGTCAAAATATGATCTTATCACCTAGCAATCGCTTCGTCATTAACATTATGATTTGTTAACATCATCAGGTGCATCAAGCTCAGTGAGCAGCTCGGAGGCGGAGGCGCGCGCGGCGCTGCTGCGCGGGCTGGTGCTGGCGTCGCTGGGCCGCGCGCCGCCCGCCCCGCCGCCGCAGCCCGCGCCCGCCCAGCCCGCCGAGCCCGCCCAGCCCGCGCAGCCCGCCCAGCCCGCGCCCCCCACGCAGCCCGCCCACCCCACACAGCCCGCATACCCCGCGCAGCCCGCACAGCCGCTGCCGCGCACCAAACCTCAGCCCAGGACTAAGGTACCCTGCGCTCCACAGCCACACATCCTTTAAACCTAATGCCCAAATACTCAAACGCTACTCAGTTTTAAAATGTCTTCAAGTCTCGTGGTGTCACAGTCACTTCCATTTAAAGTGATAGAGACAGCACGACTTACTATGTAATTCATGTAACAATAGGACTGACCTGGCGCCATGGGACTTCATAGCTGTCAATTCAAGCCATTTAGGTAGGGTGAGCGAAACATATTTTTGAAATAATATTTATTTACAAATAAATACAAAAGAACCATAAAATAAACAGTTTTAATTTTTTTTATTACTTTAATAGATATGATAATACTAAGTAATTTTCTTTGCAAGCCGTACTTTTCAAATGACAGTTGATAAATCGCGATCATTCAAGGTCATTGACGTCCCTTTTGAAAATTGAAAATTTTGACACTTCTTTAGTAGTGTGAGTGACTTTTGACAACTTTGACAAGCAAAAGCGCCAAAAACATAGTTGAAGTTTTGGCGGGAACTTGACCGGCGGCGGTTTGCTGCTCCTGTATTATTATTTAAATAAAGATTTGAAGTGGACTTTGATATGTAAAAGTGATGCGATTTTGTGTATTAAGTGTCTACGCTTGTGAACCATTAGTGGAAACGGTGAAACAAGTGCTCTAATGGTGATGTGATTCTCAAGATAAGGTTCTGCTTAGGCTCCTTGAGATACCATTGCCAACTGTCTGCTGGCTCAAGTTGCCGTCAAAATCTCCCAAGGACTTCACAATGTGACGCATCAACATATTTTGAAGCAGTGTACTATGAAGGATAATTATACATTTGTACTATGAAGGATGACGCACAAACCGTGCAGGCCAAGAAATTTAAGAAAAAAAAAACATAGTTTAAACATTGTCACGCTAGATGTCGTGCAGACGATATTGTTGTGCAACAAATACCATTATTCGTAGGTAGATATTATGCAACGATGCCGTACTTCCTAACCTTGAACTAGATGCACGTTGAAAGAAGAAAAGCGTTGTCAAACTTCGTTCGCTTGTTTGACTGTAATAAAATAAAATAAATTCCAGCTGTCAAATTTGTTTTAGCGCAACGCCTCCCGCATTTTTCATATCCCCATATTTATAACAAGCTACTTAAAATTGCGACATCAATAATTGCACCACATCAAAAGCAAAACTATAGTAAACTATAATGACACTGAAAACTTAATATTAATTCATAAATAATATCAAATCATATACAATATCTATGTTTTACACCAACAAAAATTATATTAATATTTAATAAGTAAATAATAATGTAAGGGACTAAGAGTTAAAAACTATCTTCATAATTAAAGAAATAATTCGTTAGTTTGGAAAAAATTTCTAGTTTTAACTACATAATTAAAATCAATAACCGTACTACTGGACCCTAAGGTACAGGCTATGTCTAGTGTGGGGTCCACCAGTAAATTTTTTATATGTAATAAGAATTAAAAATAATTTTCTTTAATGTAGCTCTATTTTTAGAAATAAATGATTTTAATTATTTTCAATTTTTTTATAACAATCTTCGTACAAATATAATGTTTTTTTTTTAAAGTAATTTCATTGTTATCTGTTTTGTTATCCATATAATAAATCTAATATGTTAAATACAAATAAATATTTTTGTGCTGGCAACATAAGAAATACTCTGTGGTAAGCTGCGATGACTGGAATCTCTTGTTTTTTGTGTTCTGCAATGTACCTAATTATAACAGAATAAACAAGCATCTTGAAGAAATAACTAATGGTTTATTTGCAAAGTCCTAACAGGTTATGGACCCAGTGCTCATAATTCTGTTTTAGGCGAAGATCGCAGAGATAGTTTTTGGTGCGAGCTAGGAGTCGGCGCAACCGGTGTGCGGCCTGTTTTGGTCAACAACACAGGGCTGTTTTGTTGTTGAAAGCGGCGTCTGAAGGAGGTCGTGTGGAGTATAATCGAGGCAAATCACGGCATCAGATTTCCACGGAGTGTATTTGCTAAATGTCAGAGACAGACCCTAGCATCATGGCGGTGGTGGCGCCAAACTCGGTCATCAAACTGGAGGGCCACAGCAACTGGAGCATGTGGACATTCCAAGTGACAGTTACACTGAAAGGAGCTGATGTGTTTTCAGTGGTTTTTGGAACGTTTGTGAAACCAGAAACTGGAAATATAACAGCCTGGTTAAAAAAAGATGTCGAAGATTCAGTCAAGGCGCAGAGTATCATCTGCGCCTTGACTGAATGAGGAGGCTATGATTCACGTGATAACATTTGAAACGGCTGCTGAAATGTGGAAAAAGTTACAAAGTGTCTTTGAGGCAAAGTCGGCTACAAGTACATTGATGTTACAACGTTTTCTTCTGTGCAAGTTTGAACAAGGAAAGCTTTCTGTATACTTAGCCAAGCTGCAAGAAATGACTTGTCAACTAAAACAAGCTGGTGAAACAGTGTCAGAATTTTTTTTTAATTACTAAAGTTTTAATGTCATTACCAGAAGCATACAGCCATTTTTTCTCGGCATGGGAATCTGTTGACACGGATAAGCAAAATTTTAATGATTTGGTGGCGCGGCTTCTCGTCGAGGAGGAGAGAATAAAAGCTAAAAATCATGAGAGTGAAAACACGGTGCTGTTCATAAAGAAAAGCGGCTTTGTCAAGCGCTGCAATCGATGTCCTGTCCCTGGTCATCAGGCTAAAGACTGTAAAAGTAATATGGAGAATCGTCGTTGTTTTTCTTGTGGAAAAATCGGACATTTAAAAAATCAGTGCAAAAAGGGAAATCAAAGCAAAAATAGTAGTCAATATGGAGGCGGACATTCGAAGGGAAACGCTTTTACAGTGATTGGAATGATAACTGGGAATAAACTGGGTTGTGAATATTTGAGTGACTCGAGTGGCATAGACAATCGTTCAGTGAATAAGTTCAAAAATAAATGGTTGATGGACAGTGGCGCTAGTGCGTACATGACCGGCGAACGAGACCTGTTTACGGACTATACGTCAGTGTCAGATCGGTTTGTTAGTTTCGGAGATGGGCGGCATTTACGTGTTGCAGGGATTGGAAAAGTGGAATTAAATATATATAACGGTGACATTTATGTGCAATCAACACTCCATAACACATAACACGTGCCGGACTTAGGAGTGAGCTTATTTTCTTTGTCGACCATTACCAAAAAAGGTCACAAAGTTGAAATGATGTATGGTCAGTGTTTACTATTGAAAGACAATAAACTGTGTGCTGTAGGCTATCGCGAAGGTGAAAACTACATACTAAATGTGTTGAACGATGTCTGCAATAGTGTCGCCGCGGTTGCCACTTTATCTAATTGGCATGAAAGACTGTCATCAAAATGTTGAGCATGTGAAACGAGTGCTCACCAAAAATAACATCACATACACAGGAGACAGTTTCAAGTATGTTTCGTGTCTGGAAGGTAAATGCATAAATTACCTTTTGCTAAAAGTGAACATCATGCTAACTGGAACTCTTGAATGCTGATCTGTGCGGCCCTATGGAGGTGGAGAGTGTTGGAGGCTCCAGGTATTTTTTGCTAATAAAAGACAACTACTCAAACTACAGAGTGGTCTATTTTTTAAAGAAAAAGAGTGAGGCAGTATCATGCATAAAGAGGTTTGTTGCTTGGTCCGAAAGGCAAACTAACATCAATGTGAAAATCATACATACGGATAATGGACTAGAATTTTGTAACAATGAAATGCATAATTTTGTGCAGGAGAATGGCATACAGCATCAAACAACAGTGCCCTACACGCCTCAGCAAAATGGAAAGGCTGAAAGAGACATGCGTACACTTGTTGAAGCGGCGAGGACCATGCTGAAAGCAAAAAGATTGCCAAAACATTTATGGGCAGAGGCGGTGAATACAACCGTCTACGTATTGAACCGTACTTCGAAGAGCAAGCAGGAAGGCCTGTCTCCCTATGAATCTTTCCATAAACGTGAAGTAAACATCAATGATCTAAAACAGCGGTCGGCAACCTTTTGGCGGGCAAGGGCCACTAGGTGGCAAAATAAACTAAAGGCGGGCCGCACTTGTGATTTACACACTTATTTATTCATCAAATCCCATAGAAAAAATGAAAATGCCATTCAAATTGTTAAAACATACGGAATTTAATTCGTACATGTAATTACATTACGTTTATAGCTAGAAAATAACGGAATTAAAATAGAAATTAAAACTACAAAATTACTAATATACTTTCAGTGTGATGTCTGAGGTTGTATTTGGGAGGCTATTTCTTGTATGTTAGCTGTCATATTTGTAGTTGCAATTCGTAGAATGGCTCTCAAATGCTCATCTGTGAGACGAGATGCACATTTATTTTTTCTGTAATTGACAATTGAAAAAGTTTGTTCGCATAAATAAGTGCTACCAAAAATTGTAATGAACTGCTGAGCAAACTTTTTCAATTCGTCAAAATCAGAAGGCAAGCTACCATAAAACTTAACAAGATCTTTTAGTTCATAGAAAGTGCTTTTAAGAACATCAATTAGACTGGAGATCAATCATGTTCATTTGTAAATTACTCGGTACTTCCTCAATATCACATGGAAAAGGGTTTGCAAACACCTTCAGTTTACTTGAAACTTTTTCAAAATCACCAAATCTGTCGCTGAATTGAGATTGCAGTTGTATTAAAATATCCTTCATTTTATCAATTTTCCAATGAAAATTAATTCCAGCTTCCTCAACAGCCTCTTTACAATTCGGAAAATGATCCAACTTTTTTTCGTCAATATGTTTTATAAAGAGTTTAATTTTCATTTGAAATGCTTTTACGTCTGTGTACATATCAGAAATTAGTTTTTTTTTACCTTGAAGCCTCACATTTAGCGTATTTAATTCATGAGTTACATCTGTCAAAAATCCAAGGTCTATTAACCATTGAGTGTCTGTCAGCTCTGGAATAGATTTGCCTTTTTCATTCATAAAAGTATTGATTTCTTTTCTGAGATCAAAAAATCTTTTTAGCACTGCGCCTCTACTTAACCATCGCACTTCAGAATAATAAACAACATCTCGATGATTTGCTTCCGTATCTGACAGAAACTGTTGAAATTGACGATGAGTCAATCCATTTTTTCTGATGTAGTTTACAGTCGATACCACGATGTCCATTACTTCTTTTCATGATACGACCTTGGAACATAACGCTTCTTGGTGGATGATGCAATGGAAAAATAATGGGATGGCACATCCTATCTCTGCCAGTTTCGATTTGATTCTACCTACCAAACCCTTATTTTGTCCACTCATGTTCCTGCCTCCGTCAGTTGTAACACTTACCAATTTTTCCCATGGTAATTGCATTGATACTAGCGCTTGTTCTAAGTTACAAAACAAATCTTCTCCGGTAGTCGTGCCCTTCAAACTACATAAATGTAAAAGCTCCTCATAGACATTAAAGTTCTTATCGATTCCGCGAACAAATATTAAAAGCTGGGCAGTATCAGTAACATCATTACTTTCATCGGTAGCTAAAGAGAACCATTCAAATTGTTGTGCTTTTTCCCGGAGTTGCTGACATAAATCATCGCCCAAATCTTCAGTTCGCCGGGTACACGTTCTTGCAGAAAGACTTATATTTTCAAATTTTTTTTTAGGTCGGGGCACACCTCCTCAGCCATGACTAAAGCACATTGTTTTATAAGTTCGCTGTCGGTAAATGGTCGGCCAGACTTCGCAAGAATTTCCGCTACCCTTAAACTTGCACGTATATTCGACTCGTTACTTTGTACTTGAACCTTAAAAACATTTTGTTGATTCTTAACTGAAGATTTCAGTGCGTTAATTTTATTTTTTCGTGATTCACCCACTACGCATGCAAATTTAGCTTTATGCTCGCTATCATAGTGGCGTTTGACATTATATTCTTTTTGTATAGTAAGGGTTTTTTGGCATATTAAGCATAGCGGTTTGCCATTGCAATTAATAAAAAAGTATAAATCTGTCCATGCATCGTTAAATACCCTATTTTCTTCTGCTAACTTCCTTTTTTTAGAAGCCATTATCAACTGTAACAATAAAAGCATTATTACCAGACCAAGCTTACGTAGATCGGTACCTATCAAAAGTGTATAATAAAAAGTAATCTCACACTTACCGAAATCAAAACAAAAACGCAACAAATGAAATTGTTTCACTAATCACGCATCAAAGTAGGTAATTGACGGAGAGCGGAAAGCAACTGTCCTCGCTAACGTTCGTTTGTTCCGCCCGCGCCCCTCCCGCGCGTCGTTCATTAATTATTGTTCATTCGCGAGCCAAGCGAAGCGGGTTCCACACTACTATACGGGTATACGGTTGTGCGGGGTTCGCGCGCGGCGGACAGATAGTCCGAGATTCCTATTTATTTTACACTTATAATGTTTGCTACAACATAATACTTTTAATGTTACAGTTATGTTAAATACGCTAAATGTCAGGCTTCAAGGTAAAAAAAAAACTAATCTCTGATATATGCACATTTCATCCGCGGGCAGAGCGAAGCGCGTTATACAATATTGACTATAGCTATACGCTATATGTTTGTGGTTCGTTTATGCATCTATTTTGATATTATTAGGATTTATTTACATAACATTCACGGGCCGCAAGTAGAACGTCCGCGGGGCCGCGCGTTGCCGACCGCTGATCTAAAAGGAGTATTTGGTGAATGAGTATTTGTGCACATACCTAAAGAAGGTTGAAGTGGGACGACAAAGGAGGCCATTGTTGTATGTGGACGATATACTGTATTTTGGAAACAACAAACTTGAGCTGAGTAAACTAAGAAACATGTTATGTCAAACATTTAAAATGAAAGAATTGGGAGCTATAAGTAAATTTTTGGGTATTGATGTAAACCAAGATTAGATTCAGGGGTCACTGTAATTTCACAAAAGGACTACATAAGAGACATTTTGTCAGAATATAATATGTCAGATTGCAAAACATTGTGATTACCTATTGATTAAAATTTTAATTTTCATATTCTTAAGAGGGAAAAGTCAGAGAGTAATCTAATTGAAAATAAATGTAGAAGATTGATAGGAAGCTTGATGTATGTGGCAATGGGCACTAGGCCAGACAGACATATGTGCAGTTGTTAATATTTTAAGTTGGTTAAACATTGTTAAACATTTTGAGATATTTAAAGGGCACACTTGATTTATGTCTTATATACTATAGAGATTCTAATTTTGATGAGGTTTTAAGCTATGTTGATAGTGACTGGGGTGGTTGTAATGATCGTAAGTCGTAAGGGTGTATTCTTAAAGTTTTTGGAAGTTCTGTAATGTGGTTTTCAAAAAAAACAGCTGACTGTTTACTTGTCCTCTACAGAGGCTGAATTTATTGCCCTGTGTTCAGCAAGCAGTGAAGCTTGTTGGCTAAAAGATATTTTGTACATTTTTGGGTTCAAGACTAATATAGTAATTTTTGAAGACAACCAGTCCACTATCAAGATGGCACAGATGGCCACTGGTAATTCTAGAGTAAAACACTTAAAAATGAAGCTTTCATTTGTAAAAGAAAAGTTGGATAAAAATATTATAGAATTGAGATACAAAAATACCAGTGACCAACTCGCAGACATACTAACCAAAGCTTTGGGGGAACTTTGTTTAGAAAATTAAGGGATAGGTTGTTTAGTAAATAAGAAGTCTTATTGTTATTAAAAATATTTTATTGAGAAGAGATTTTGTACTGGCAACATGAGAAATACTCTGTGGTAAGTTGTGATGACTGGAATCTCTTGTGTTTTTTGTGTTCTGCGATGTACCTAATTAAAATAGAATAAACGAGCATCATGAAGAAATAACTAATGGTTTATTTGCAAAGTCCTAACATAATATTGTTACGCGCCACTATTAATGTCTTGTACATGGCAACACTAGTTACACTAGCGCCCTCTAGTGTCGAGTAGCAGAACTAGGAGAGTCGAGATCCTTCCAGAAATTTCGGGACCGATATGTACTCGAACATTCTAGATGTCGCTACAGTGGAAGGTTCTGGAAACTGTCTGAGGCCCTATATAAAGCCGGTGTGGACCACGACCGAGTCAGTATTAAATTGGCGATACAAGAGAATACTTCGAAGCGAAATAACGGCGAACTGTGTTTTATTATTAGTGTGATTTTAAGTTGTAATTAGTGTTGTGTAATTAATAGTCAATTTTGGTAATTCACTCGGCAGTTTTTAATTATCTCGAACCCCAAGCTCGTAACAATTGGTGTCAGAAGTGGGATCAAATATGCCAATTTTACCTAAAGACGACACGGAGGGTATCCGTACCCGAAGTCAACGCCAACAGGAGACGGACCAGAGACGATTTGGTAATGCAACGCCGCAAACGTCGGAGGGCCAGCTGCTAACCACGGAGGCCGGCCCGTCAGCAACTCCTGCATCTGTAGCACCTGACTTAGGTGCTCTGATGATGATGCTGCAGGATCAGGCTCGCCGACAGGAGGAACAGGCCCGCCGACAGGAGGAACAGACCCGTCGGTTGGAAGAGCAAGCTGCAGCGCGGTATGGAAGAACAGATGCTCCTCAGGAAGGACCTTCACGCTACCTTCGGGAAAGAGATAAAGGAGGTGAAGGATAGGGTTGCTCAACATGACAACCGCCTGTCGGAAGCTGAAACCCGAATCGACCAAGTGAACAATCGGGTTGACAACTTGATGGCTGATGTGAAGAAAACGCTGGACGACCTCAAACTTGGGGATGGAATTATAGCTCCCGTAGTAGCTACAACACCTTCGCTACGTCGATTCAAAGTGCCGCCGTTCGACGGGAGTTCTTCCTGGTCGGCCTACAAAATCCAGTTCGAGGCTGTCATGAAAGCGAACGGCTGGAATAAAAGTCAGGCCATGACTGCTCTCACCCTAGGCCTACGCGACCAGGCATTAAAAGCTCTCAGTAAGGAAGTGACATACGAGCAGCTCCTTGAGGCATTGGAGGCGAGATATGGCGATGCTCACCTGGAACACGTCTTTCGTGCGCAGCTCAAAGATCGCGTGCAACGCAGTAACGAAAACCTGCAGCAGTGGGCCCTTGAGGTGGAGAAGCTGGTTCGAAAAGCGTACCAGTCTGTACCTGCGCTCATTGTAGGGAACCTGGTGCAGACATTCATCGACGGCATCCGCGACCTTGAAGTCAGAGCTGCTGTGAGGCTCGGGCACCACGAGACGCTTAAGGACGCCTTGGCTCATGCACTGGAGGTGGAAGCCGTGCGGCAGGATCATCGTTCCCACCGCGTCAGGGAGGTTGCAGCAGCTACAGTTCAGGACCACAATAAGGGCTACAGCCCTTGGTGCTACGGCTGTGGGGAAAGGGGCCATCTTCGATCCAGCTGCCCTAAACGAACTGTAGAAAGGGAAGGTGATCGATATCGAGAGGGTAGTGTGGCTGACAGCACCGCCCAGCAGCAGCAGGGAAACTGGCGGGAGCTGGCTGATATTAAAAGAGCCCCAAGAATTTCGATCTCACAAACCCGTGATGGAAACAGCCTGATCATCAAGGGCGAGGTCAACGAAAAGCCGTGTAAACTGACCATAGACACTGGAGCCTCTCGCACGGTTGTCAGTTCCCAACTTATAAATCAGTTTCTTGGGGACTCCGCATACAACCGCGAACGCATTAATTTGGTGACAGCCACCGGTCAGCGCATACCCGTCCGTGGAGAGAAGGAGATGGAGTTGCAGCTAGGCAACATGATCTACCTGCATAATGTCATCGTGGCTGATATAATGGACGACTGCATCCTGGGCCTAGACTTTATGAGGAAGAATTGTTGTGAGATCGACGTTAAGCAAGGTGTTTTGAAATGTGGACAAGAGGAACTTTTCGTGGAAGGGGCGTTACCAGGGAATGTGTACAGCCTTAAGAAGATTGTTCTTCCGCCGAGATCGGAAACGATTGTGCCGGTTAGTCTTCCTCGGAGTCCTGGGCAAGCTCATCGTTGTGTACTCGTGGAAAGGGTAGACAATGACCTTCCATGGAAAGTGGCTCGAACCTTGGTCAGAACCACCGACATCTCAGGAGTACGTGTGTTGAACCTTTGTGATCAGGAACAGATTATAGAAAAAGGCACATTGGTTGGTACTAGTGAGGAAGTGGATTGGTTGCGTCGGTGCGAA